TGTTGTCAGTTTAAAACAAAGCTGTTTAATATATTATTGGAAAAATAAATTATTAAGATTATGTTCTTTATCTGAAAGAAATACTGTATCTTTACTGAACACCATCTATGTAAGTTAACATGTAGCTTCACAAAACATAGACCCTAATAAATGTGACCCAAACAAAAGTACAATTTCTTAAAGAATCAAATAATTCAAAGTAAACTTTTTAGAGAATGCTCCAACATTAAAAAAATAAAACATACTTTCTTTACCTAACTTCAATTTGGAGTCCTTTATAGTCTCAAGTGGCTTGTTTCTAAGTTTGTGTTAATTTTCCATTAATAGTGATCAATAAAACACGTTTAAACTTAAAATGGATCAGAACCATTTCCAGGTGGTAAAAAGAAAATATAGAATCCCTAAATGTAAAGATCTTGTTCATGCACTATTTTTCAGTGGATGATGAATAAAAACTCGTAGTGGTATTTATGTTCCATTGGTTACAATTCAAAGAATGATGCCATGGTTTAGTTACCGTAGGTAGTTAGCTAGTTAGTAATAAAGGAAGAAAGCAAAGGGAATCAGACATTGTTGAGCATAATCAACCAGGGAGCAAAAGCCTGACTGCTTCACCAGGAGAACTTCACACACTCCAAGGGTAACAGCATTGTCCTGCCAAAGATTAACATCCTTCCTATCCCTGCTCCAGTACTGGATTGTTGGGAGGAGCAGGGAGAGGTAGGCACATGTGCAATAGAAGTCAAAGTTGTGCAGTGTGAGGTGCTTGACCATAGAAGCCAGTCAGTCTAACCTGGGAAAGGGATCAATTGACAAGGGGGTGGATCCAGTGTAAGCTTGCAAATGCTTGGGAAGTTGATTGGTTATTTTGAAAAAAATACTTGGTTCATCCCAAGCCTGAAATATAACCCAGCTTAACAAAGAAGCGCTCCCCCCTCCCCGTGGCCAGAAACACAAGCTCACCCCATTCCTTTACACTTTCTCTTCATTGTGAGCATGTACTATGGACTCCAAACACAGGCTCCAGGTGGGAGCCTGGGTCAAGCAGTGCAGCCGGGAATAGGGCTCAGCTACCTAGATAAGGACTGAGATTGCTAATGCCAGAATAATTAAACAGAAACTATGGACACTGGCCTTTGTTTTGGCCTTGCTGAAGACATAGTTGGACTTTTTCGACAGTGAACGGACCGGGAGGGGACACAGAAGCAGCCTTCTATTTCCACCCAAATAAGTCTGGCCACACCTCATCCTCCTCTGTGGATCTCCCGGAATGCTTTCCTTGGGGCGCTGCAAGGACTCCACTTCCACTGGCAACAGTTTTATTTTAAATTACAATTTTTCCAGTATATCTGAAATTACACCCTTCACAATGATTTCAAATTTTGCTAAAATATTATGCACTACTTAAAACATGTGGGAGGGGGTATAGGGTTTTTAAAAAGTCTCATAGGGAGGATGTTAGCAAATACATTTGATGGCCTACCACTAGGAAATACTTTTCTCTGTTCAAATTTCCATATCAGTGTGACTCTGTCTACAGGCAACTTCCCTGCGATACCTCATATTAACTAAGAGACACTGTTCTTTGTTTTCCAGCATTATAACAAACGGCCACTGGTGAGAGAGCAGTGAGCATAGAGACCTAGGCACCCATCCTTGTAGTGCTTACATTCTGGGAATGGAAATTAAGATTAATCAAATGACTATTTACATAAAAATGAAACTGAAATTGAAGCCTATGCTCTGGATTGTGCGTAAACAGAGCTTTGGTGTGAGGAATGAGGGAAAAGAATCTTGTCAGAGGGAGCTGAGATCTGAAGGAAGTTAACTAGGTGAAGACAAGGGATTTAGTCTTTCAGAGATTTATTTATTTTTCCTGTCATTTCAAAAGCCTCTTAAATGAGAGGGAAGATAGATATATGTGTAAAATGGAAAAGATGCCATTTGTTTAGAATTCTATTGTATATGTCTCCCCCTGACATTTCCGCTTTAAAAACTTCAAATTCATACTTCTGACTTAGGTGAAATAACAAGGCTTGGATTCATCTTCTCAACCATAACGCCCAAAACAGATAACAGTTGCAATACACTGAACATCAATCAACAAAGTACAGAAACTCTTGAGAGATGGGACACAAACAAGGTGAGACCGGGAATTGCCCAAGCTTACTCCCTAGAGAGAGTTTCTGGCCATAGAATCTCCAGGCACCGCCCTGGAGGATCCCTCGGATAGAGTTGACAGTCCCAAGGAGGCCATGGTAGCCGTTATTCTCAAGAATGGGTACTAGAGAGAACAGTACAGAGAGAGAACTCCAGAGTTCTTCCAAAGGTCCCCTTCAGGTATGCAGCCAATTACTGATCAGATTCATGTGAGAAGATACTACCTAAGGCTGGGCAAAGAACCACTGAGAATAATCCATCCATGTGATATGTATGATTGCTTTTAAGTCCCTTGGTGTTTCATAGCCATGGACTCTCCAGACCTGAGCCCCAGCTCTCTCAGAAAAGGTAGCTTTTTTGGGGCCACACCCTGCTTAGATGGCTTCAAGCTATTTTCTGATTACATATCAACATACCAGTGTATGGAAAACATACTCACAGCCTTGCTCATTCTGTATATGGAAGTGCAGTTTGTTCTAAACATGGCCTTTTTTCTCTGGATTATTCCAAAGTCTCTTTAGAATTCTTGGGTATGAGTCAAGCACAAGGTCACTATGTTCCCCAAACTTTAGCAGACACTTTTCAAAATCTTCAGCTGATTTCCTTAAATAAAGCCCCTCTCAATAAACTAGCAACGAAACACACCTTCGTCTTCTCCTTCCAAGAGATAAGTGTAATGGTGAAATAAGGAAGTATCAGAGTCTCACCACAAATATCTCCAAAGAAATTCTCTCTTTACCTGGCTTCAGTTTAAACTCCTTTATAGTGTCTCAAGTGTGGGATATAGGTTGCAAAGTTTTTTTTTTTAATATAACTTCCTTATGTGCACTGCATAAATGGACTAGAGCTTCATTTTGGCAACTATTGTTTTGCTGTCCAATGTAAGGACCTCAGCTGAAACTGAGACAAAAGAATCTTATTTAAAATAATCTTACAGCCCTGGCTGGTATGGTTCAGTGGATTGAATGCTGGCCTGTGAACCAAAAGGTCACCAGTTCGATTCCCAATCAGGAATCCCATCTTGAGAGAGTCCCATCTCTCAAGAGTTTCTGTACTTTGTTGATTGTATACATGCCCAGGTTGAGGACCAGGTCCCAGTTGGGTGCTTGCGGGAAGCAGCCACATGTTACGTTTCTCTCCCTCTCTTTCTCCCTCCCTTCCCTTCTCTAAAAATAAATAAATAAAATCTGAAAAAAATAATCCTGCTATACAAAAATATAGCAAAAATGTGCATATTTTGCTATAAATACAATTATTATATCTAAAATATTATAGTGTAATTCCAGCCACTCAGTGATGGACACTTAAGATACTTACAGAATTTGCCACTCTATGCTACAATAAATATCAAGGTATGTTTGTTGCCTCACAATTTTTTAATATGTCAGCAGAAAAAAAACTCTAGAAGGATAACCTGTGAATCAAGGGTTGTGTTGATATCTGTGCATATTTTGAAATTGCAATGGAACAAATTAGAAGTACCCCACTTTTCTTCTATCACCATATTTCATCAAGTTTTAAAATTTTTGCCCATGGGATAAGTGTGGAATGACATCTCTTTGTTATTTTAACTTATATTTTAAATTAATAGAGCACTGATTAGTTTACTGTGGCTGCTGTAAACAAATCATCACAAAGTGGATAAGTAGCTTAAAACGGCCATAGCAAAAACTCTCTCACAGCTCTAGAGACCAAGAGTTCAAAAAATTAATATCATTGGGTGGAAATCAGTGTTTCAGCAGGGCCACATTCCCTCCAGAGGCTCAACAGAAGAATCTATTTTGGGTGACTGCTTAGCATTTCTCGGCTTATCACCACAACATTCCATTCTTTGAGGCTAAGATTTCAAATTTTTCTCTGCTCGGTCTTCACGTTGTTTTTTTCCTCTGTATGTATAGGTCAAATCTCCCCCTGCCTTCCTCTTATAAGTATACATGTGATTGCATTTAGGGTCAACCTGGGTAATACTGGATCAGCGTCCCATCCCAAGACCCTTAATTAATTATATCTGCAAAGACTCTGCTATATAAAGTAACATGCACAGTTTCCAAGGGTTAAGATTGAGTATTATTTTAAGGATATCTCTTTCAGTTTGCCACAGAGTACATGATTATATGTTTACTGATTTTTGGAATTTCATTTTCTGTGAACTGCTACTTTATGTTTTTACCTACCATTAAATTTAGTGGTTTGCATTTATCTATTTTTCTTATTTTTTTAAAGTATAACCAAGAGAAAAAGGGAAATATATTTGGTTTTTTTCCCACCAATACAGAACACTTGTTGTGTCATGTCATCCAATATGTCAGTCTTGCCCTTTGTCACCACTTAGATTTCATATATATGCCTTTACCACCTATAATTAGTAAAATCATCACAAAATAAACTCCTGGTAGGTTTCTGATTTATTTTATTGAAATGTTTGATTTCTGTAAAATGTATTTGAAGAAGAGAAGCAATGTGAGCTAAAGTTGAATTTTTTCTCCTACTTTCTAGACTTCTGAATCAACACCACTTTTGCATAACATAGCTTACCCTGTAGTTAGCATATGAGAAACCCCATATTGTTTCGTTTTTGCTGCACCAATACAGTAATGTTTCTACTCAACTGTTTCTTAATAACAGGACTTACAATTTATATAGTCTGATAATCTGCTATAACTCATCCTCTAAAATTAAAATTCTATTTCATAAAAGTCCATGTTATTCTTGACTATTAATATTTCTAGATGAATTTCAGAATTATTTTGTTATTTTCAGAAAAGAAAGGAAAATCCTTATAGTAGCTTTCTTCAGATTGCATTACATTAATGAGTTTATGTCTGGAAAATGGTATTCCTTACAACACTTATTTATTGTCTCAAATCAGGGCATGTGATTATTAAAGAATTTTTCTTTCCACAGAAATCTTTAGTAAAAGGTGAAAGATTTGTGTGCTCTGAAAAGAAACCAGAGTATTAAAGAATTTTTATAAAAGTCTTATTAAAGGATTTTGTGGCTTAAGAAACTTTACTGTCTTCTTCATATAGGTTTTATACATGCCATCATATTTATTACTAAGCATTTAATTTTAAGTAGCTGCTGTGATTATTTTTCGATAAAAGAAAGTTTTGTGTTGTCATTTATTGAATTCTCTTTTTGTTTTTCAGATTATTTAGATCTTCACACTATATAATGATTACACCTGAAAATATAGCTCTCATTTCTTATTCTTTCTGATCTAATCCCACAGGCCAAGAGCAATAGTTCAATGGAAAATAATGATTCCTAATTGGCATCTTTATTTTGTTCTTGATTATAATATTCTTTTGAGATTCACCATTAAAGATAATGCTGATTTTTATATATACATATAGACATGTTTTACATTAAAACACACACACATCTCCACACTAATATATAAAATGAAATGATATTCAAAACATACTACCAACAGACTGTGACTGCTGTCCACAAGCACTGAGCAACTAGTGAAATTGTACACCACCTTATATGCAGCACTATGTACTGGCTTCTTAGTTCTATGGACATGCTGCACAGCTAAGGTACATGCTGCACAGTTAAGAAACTATTAATCTTTTACCAGACATGAGTGTTTAATTGTTTCATTTTTAACTTTTTGTGTGATGAATAGTTTTCCTTTTCATTATATCAGTATGAAAATCCATCTTTACTCTGTGGAAAAATGTTCATGATGCACTGTTAGACTACAATTGGTAATATTATATTAATGAATTTGCTTCACTAGGAGTTAGATTTTTCTTTGGGGACTCTCCTTGCCTGTTTCTTTCCTTTTTCTAGTAAAGCTCTAGTCCAATATTTGGAGTGTGTGGAAGCTTCTTTTGTCTGCCTACGTGATTTTTTTCCAATAATATGTACTCTATTAAACATTGAAAAAGGTCTTCATGCTTAGGATCAGGAGATATCATACATTTAATTATGTTGAAAGAATAATACTCAAATCTGAGAAAAACATGAATAGTTTTTTACAAAATATCTTATTTTTGGCATGAAATAAATCTACAGTTCTTTGATATTTTACAATCTTTAGAAATACACTAAAAATAATGCACGCTCTCCACTGATAAATGCAATAGACTAAAGCACTCTTCAGATCTTGTAGAGTATCTCTGAAAATGTGTACAACAGAAACATCCCAATATTATCACGTGGATTATCCAGCTCCTCAGCACATTTTCATATGTCCTTTTTTCTACAGGGTTGCCTTAGTAACTCTCCAACAAAAGTAATTTTCTGCAGTTTTTTCCAAATCCTACCTACATAATTGCTCAATTTAGTTATCACAGTGGGGGCAGGAAATAATCTAACTCAAACTTTGTTTGCTTCTGATTCCAACAGTTTGGAGACCAAAAACATTCTAGTGAAAAAACCTAAAAGTGTCAGATATATTAAAACAGCAATCACATGCAACACTGTAGAAGGATGATGGACATAAATTGATTTCTTTTATTATTCCAAGAAAGGATACACTAATTAAATTTAGTCTTCATAAAAGAAAGTGTGCATAAAACTTTCTAAGTTTTAAAGGTAACTATCAGATTAGAAAGGAAAGAATGCCTTCTAAAGCAATAAAAGAGAAAAGGGAAACAAACACCCAACAATCCAATAAAAGGTAGAAAAGAACACGAGTTGATACAAGTCGAGTGACTAAGAAATGGCCTACACACTCAAGAAGTGCAATATATTGAATTTCCAGTTGTATATAATTGGACTTAATTTCTACCTCTGTAAGTTAAATAGGCCTCTGTTCCTAACATTTTTCTCAGGTTAGCAACTAAATTCTAGCATGGTGGAAGGCATGAAGAGAAGTAGTGATATGGACCTCCATTGTCAATGTCAAAGTATCCAACCACACATATAAAAAAAGCACTTAAGAGGGTGCATGGCACCAAGTGAAAGTTGGCTATTTTCTCTCTCTTGACTCCTGAGGCAATAGTGAAAATTTCTTCAGCTATGTCTTTAGTAACTCCTGTGGTGGGTGTGAAGACAGTGGTTTGCAGAGGGCTGTCCTGTGTTTTTGTGGAGGAGAATTCAACCAGTGTTAGCTTAACATGACCTTTGGAAGGGTAGGTGAAGCAGAAAGAGGGACATTGTTACTATTTATGCGCATTGATTGTTCATCAACCTGATATATTGACTTCAGATTTCTACTTTACTATTAATAAATCTCTATGGTGGAGGTAAATATTAGTTTTAATATTTAAAGTTCTTTCACTATACATTTCAAGACACATACTTAGGAGGAAGAGCTCAGTCTACAGAGTCAGACAAACATACCTGAATAGAGTCTCATTAGCACTGGTAACTCTGGTCCCATACTTCTGTGTGCTTCTGCTTCTCTTGTAAAATAGTGTGAGTAATACTGTGTTAGTTCAGGTTCTCCAAGAAGCAGTCATCCTGAGAGGATTTAGCATGCAAGAATTTCATTAGAGAAAATGCCAATGAGAGGCAATGGAGAGCAAGCTGGAGGATGTTGGAAGCCTATCCCAGATCACCGTGCAATCTAAAGAATGTTCAGGGAGGCCCTCTGAAGATCTTCAACTCATTCTCCCATCAGAGGAGTCTCTCATCTCCCAGGAACAAGCGTACATTAGTAACCTTGCCATGCAAACCACTGACTGGGAGCAGCCCCTAGGAGGCACGGCCAGGGAGAAAGTGAGACAATGGTCAAAGAACACAGTGGCTGGGGCCCTTAATTTCAGTCAAGTGTACTCCCTCTACAATGTGCATTCTCATGACCACTGTATCTTTATTGCAGGTTTATTGTGAAATTAGAATATAGGTAAATTACCTACGAACACATACTTGACATATAATCACACTCAATTAAAAATAGCTATGGTCATATCTCAATTGTGGATGCCTTATCATAATAATTCTGAGATATTCATAAGATGCATATTATTTAATCCTCACAAAACTTCCTGTCAGGTGTTTGTACTAGTTTGCTAAGGCTGCCATTACCAAGTACCACAAGTTGGGTGCCTTAAACATCAGAAATGTGTTTTCTAACAGTTCTGGAGACTAGAAGTCCCTGATCAAGGCATTGGCAGAGTTGGCGTCTTCTGGGGCCTTTCTCCTTGGCTTAGAGAGGACCATATTGTCTCTGTCTTCACATGGTCTCCCCTCTGTGTTCAAATTTCTTCTTCTAAAGATACCAGCAGTATTGGAGTTGGGTTTACTCTAATGACCTCATTTTAACATAATTTTCTAAGACCTTCTATTCAGATACAGCCTCATCTGAGGCACTGGAAGTTAGCACTTCGTCATATGAATTTTGGAAACACAATTCAGCCATAACGGTATTGTTAACTATACATTACAGATAAGAAAACTAGGAATTGAAGGTGTAAAATAAAATGTGACGGTAATAGTTTCAATGAAATCCAGAACCAAGATCTCTGCAATTCCAAGCAAAGTCCATTCTGTTTTTATGAAAGTGCATTATACACCTGATCCTTGTATATACACTTTGCCCTTTTAGGTAAAGGGTGAAAAGAGAAGGCGATTCAGCTTAGAGGATGTAAGAGAGACCCTTGAATCAAGCTCCATGAATCTTTAAACTAGGTTCACAATCAAGGTCATTTTGTTCTCTTGAGGGATATTTAACTTCTGAATACATTTTTGGTTGTCACAGCTGGGGGTGTCCTGCTGGTATCTATTAGCTATATGTCAGGAATGCTGCTAAATATCCTACAATGCACAAGACAGCTTTCTGCAACAGTGAATTACCTGGCCCCAAATGTCAATAGTGATGAGGTTAAGAAGCCCTACATCAGAGTAAGGCAATTTGGTCAATAAATCAAGACTAAAGGGATAGAAAATTGTATAGACCTTTTTTGAAAATTTAGGGCACTATGCATACATGTAGACTTGTCTGCCAACCAAAACTGAATTCATTAAATTTTATTATGTCACTATCAATTTAATTCAGAATACAAGATTATTGTTTTATGAGCATAATGTGATATCGATGCTTATACTTGGTTGTATCCTCCATTTCTTGGAAGTGATTATGCTGTTATTGCTGATGATAATAAGTTTTAAAAGCTATTTATTGAGCACTGTGTTCTTGGTAATTTACATATAGTTACTAATTTTTCAGACAAGATGGAGAAATTGTGACTAGGAGAAAATAAGTAACTTGTCTAAGGTCATGAAACCGGTGTCAGAGCCTGCATTGTTATCAAGGGCTGTCTGCATATGAAGCTTTTGCTTTATCTGTTACATCACCCTCCCCTTCTTGATGTGTTTAAAAAGTTACTTAGTCATAAAAATTACCGGAAGTCATGTATTAAAACCAAAACCTTGTTGAATCCAGGGCACCTCTGAGAAAATGCTCACCTGAATGTTATTGTAAATGCAGGGCCATTCCAAACTGTTTCTTCTTTTCATAAATAAACCACTTAAGGTTTTTAAAAAATTACTGCTAAAAAACTTAGGGGAAATTAAACATTTTTTATATGGTTATCTTCTCCCATACAACATCTAGAGAGACTGAACATTTTGGTCAATTTTGCACTCAGTGTGCAGACAGTAAGGATGGCTCTTCTGTGTTTTGCTGCTCTCTTAAACCTTCCCTTAATAGTAGGTTATGCCATCTGATGGGCAGTTTGGCTTTGCACCATTTTGCTTGTCATGTTGTTTCCCTAACATTAAGTAGCTGAGACTAGAAAAGGGCTCGTAGAGGTTATACAGCTCAATAGAATGCCTGTCCTTTTTTTTTTTTAACTTTCTGTTACATGTAGGCCCTCCCCCGTCTTGCCTTACAAACTCATTGGGGACAATACAACAAAAACAACAAAAATGTAAATATTAATTTTCTACTCCTATAGTATTTTTATGACCAATTAAAATTTGCTAAAGGAAAAAAAATAAGCAGAGTGTCAGAAAATTGTTCTCCTCTGTCTAGATGTAAATAGCTTCTCTGTTAAGAAGTGGGACTACTCCCACCAAAACAAAGAATGAAGTATATTTTCCTTAAAGCAAAACTCTGTGTATGCATGTAAATTTGTGGGCTATGGATAACATTCCTCATGAAAGTCTAGCCAGGAGGAAAACATGACATACTTTTCAAACAAACTACCTTTTTTTGGACACACACTCACACACTTGACTTTGAATAATCCTATTACAACATTTAACTAACATGGTTTGAGAGATGTGAAAATGCAGTTCTCCTGTTATGTCATATGCTCAGTAATGTCTGATGACATGTCCTGACATCATGTCCAAACTTTAGCAGACTTTATACCTGGTGAAATAATTGTTTGTTGTTTTAGGAATATACTTTTTTTGTAGCTCTTACACAACAGTCTCTTAATTTTGCATAGGATGTGTCTCTTATTCGCCAATAGTACATTTTAAATTATCTTATTTGGGGAATTACAGAGTCACTTTTAATTCCTGAATTTTACAGTTCAGTATGAATAGCATCACTAAATGGTATAAAAGAATTACAATGGTATTTATAATACAAAGTAAATATCTGTCTTCAGGAAAACTATATAGTTTTTAACACCCCATCTTGTTAAAATAATGGATAAAACTGAAATTAACCCTAATATCTTCAAAACAGGAGAAAGTGCTTCAATTTAAACTAATCCAGGATAAATGGATACAGTTAACTTGCTCCTGTAAAAATACAACCTCTTAACTCTTTGTTATAATGGCTTTTTAGACATTGATTTACATTCACTCTTGAACAAAGAACCTTTCTTATTACAGTGTTTATTGTAGGGAAAAAAAATCTTCATCTACTATGTGGAATGTGACACTTAAGTAACCTTTTACTGGTCCAAAATGGTTTTTAGATATTAAGTTCCACTTCATTCAGCACTATTTTTTGTAATTTCTCTTTGTAAACTGCACTTTAAAATTTACCTGCTGCTCTGAAGTCAGGCACACAGTTTTATTAGTGCAACCAGGAAGTGGCTTCCAAGTTGAAAACATTCTGTTCTATCTACTCTCAAGGTCCTAGAAAATACCCTTTTAGAATACCATTGGACTGACTTTTGGTATCTCTTATCTAAAAGATACTTTCACAACTGCACATTTTGAAGCCAGCTTTCTTTTTTATTCATGAAAATACACACTGAAAATTACTTCCCTCAAATTACTCTTATGGTTTAAAATTTTGTTAAATCTTCACAGATTTACTTTTTTGTTCCAATTGACTTTGTTTCCATATAAGCATAAACACAAATATTTGTTTCAAAGAAAGCAACTGAAGAAAACAAAAACATAACCAATGGTTTTGGGCAAGTAATCTTATATGCTGTGAAACTGTACTGTTAACAGCTGTTTCTAATATATATTGCTGGAAAAAAACTACATTGATATTATATTATCAACCTGTTCTCCCACCCCCTCTGAGCAACTTTGAGATTTTTGGAGGTTTAGTTTTTACAAAACTAAGCCCTTCTAGATTTTAACACTGAGCATCTTTGCTAGTTATTGCATACTTCTAAGTTCACAGGAGAAAATTTTAAATTCAAACTTTTTAGCTAACTGATGTTTACAGAATTTTAGTACACTTTAATAACATCAAGAGTCTCTCAAAGACTTTACAGGTTAAGATGTGGTTTTTTCCTGAGGGCTGCATGCTCCTCTTCCTCCTCCTTCTCTTCCTCCTCCTTCTCCACCTCCTTCTCCTTCTCCACCTCCTTCTCCTTCTCCACCTCCTTCTCCTTCTCCTCCTCCTCCTCCTCCTCTTCCTCCTCCTCCTCTTCCTCCTCCTCCTCCTCTTCCTCCTCCTCCTCCTCTTCCTCCTCCTCCTCCTCTTCCTCCTCCTCCTCTTCCTCCTCCTCCTCTTCCTCCTCCTCCTCCTCATCCTCTTCCTCCTCCTCCTCATCCTCTTCCTCCTCCTCCTCATCCTCTTTCTCCTCCTCCTCTTCTTCTTCTTCATCTGGAGAATCCATTAATCTCATTACGGTACTACCAGTTGGGCTACCTGTTTCTTTAGCAGCACCAGCAGAATGGGAAAAAGTAAATTTGTAGTCACCAGAAGATGTCTTTTTACGAAGATTTACATTTTCTTTTGGTTTTTTACTGTCCATACATTTATCATAATCTTTTTCCAGTGGTGGCATTCTTTCTTCTCCTTCATCTGTATTTCCTTTAAGACAGACTTCTTTCTCCTCCAAGACTCTGGCACTTCTGAAACGTATTTTACTACTTGCCATAGAATGCAAACGCTCCCGTAATTGACTTTGTCGGTTTTTCTCTTTGTCATATTGAAGTTTCAAACCTTTGAATGTCTGAACATAGTCAATCCATTCAAGTTTTTCATAAAACTTTTCAACTATATGTGCAATGAGAGACTTTATATTTTCCACTCTTATGTATTCAAACAGTGCAAGGACAGCTGAATTCAACATATTGTACCGAGTTCCGTTATTCAGAAGAACATTAACAACCGGCTCAAACAGATCTCCCTTGATGATGTAACTATTATACATTTCATCTTTAAGGCAAATCATCCTTCTCATAAAACGAAGAGCACCCAAGACCAGGAAAGTGTGCCTTGATCTCATCAAGATCAAGACATTTCTTAGTAAGTCTTTGCGCAAAATATAGTTTTTAATGTAGTATGTGTGATTTTGCACACAAAATGTAAGCATCTCCACAATTAAGCCAAGCAGATGTGCTGTTTGGTAATTATTGAAGCAATTTTTGTCACTTGTATCAGCTCCAAATATATGATCCTCTTTAAATGTAGCTTCTGAAGAAGCAGCCAGAAGTGGTGCTATGAAGTTGTGCATACATCGTTTATAGAAGAAATTTAAAAATTTGCTTCTTTCACACCTAGGTGTTATTAACATATTGTCTGGATCAAGTAGAGAACGAAGAAGTTCCATTATAAGAAAAGCACCTGCTAGCTCTGGATCAGTATCACAGGTCATTTGTTTAATTACTAAATTAATGAGAAGGTTACTGTCTTTATCCTGCTGGGCTTCTTCTATTATGTATTCGCGGATCACGGATGGACTATGCTCCACTAGGTAAGAAAATATGTCAGTAGCAGCTGACCTTATTTGCAAATTATCCAAGCTCATTACAGTTTTAAGAGCAGAAAGAATTCCCATTTGTGTCAATGTTTTGAATAGTGCATCCTTGTTTTCAGGCTTTAACGTCTGAGTGAATGTATACAATTCTTTGAAAAACAGTAACAATTCATATCTTTTATCATCATCAGTAGACTTTGCCTTTAACTGTGCGAAAACTGCAGGCAAAATGTTGTCATCTCTCTGCAGCATGTGGACTATCTCCAACTTGTTCAAGAAAATAAAAGTTTTAAGAGCAGAGAGATAATTCTCATCCATTACAGGTGGTGCAGGCAAAATAATGTCTAGAATATACTGTACTCTGTATGTTTGGTGTATTTTTTCCCGAAGTTTACAGGCTGTTACAGGTACAACGTCCTTGAATTTTGCATTTTGGGTCAAGAATTCCCGATGCCTTGTTGGCTGAGGCAAAGCAGGGTCGTATTCGAGGCATCCCACCACATTCATGATACACTCATCAGAAAACATGATCTCAAACAGAGACATCTTGTTGAGCAATAAGATTCCTTTAGTAATGGTGTGCAAGTGGTATAAGCCTTCAGTGTACCCTAGGTTCTCACAAGAGTTTAACAGTCGCAGTATTTTTTTAATATAGTTCTCATTTTCCAATTTCAAGATGACCTTTCTCTTATTGTCAGGCGATGAGAAAGCCGAGACAACAAAGCTAGAAATTTGTTTAAGTTCACCAAGTTCACATTTAGGCAGGGCATCCTTATTATCAGTTTCTAGTGTTTCGTCAAAGAATTCTACATCATTCAAGAGGTCTTGTGTAATGTTGACTAAAGGGTCTTTACCTTGAACGCGGCAAATGACTTCCCAGATCTCGTGACAGCCAGCTGCATCTTGGAAACTCAGAGTCACTCCGTGGTTCTGAGCTTCAGACCAAACAATTACAGTGTCCTTTGGTCTCTGATAGGGCGTGTCTGGCTCTATCTTAGACTCCAGGAGTAGTGAGCCGCTGGACTCCGAAGTAACTAATAGAGACACGCCCTGGGATGCCTCGTCAACTGAGGTGACATAGCCCGTGCCTCGAATCGCCCATTGTTTGTCCTCATTCAGGACATAAAGTTTTACAGGGTGACTCTGTCCATTCGCCATGGCGACCGCGGAGCCTTTTACCTCAGCACTGCTCTCGACGCGGGGTCTCGGTGCCCGAAAGCTCAGGATTGGTGGGAGTTATCTCTGTTGTGGCTGCTACGGTGGCCGAGTTGGCTGGCCGGAAGAGTCTCAGAAGATGGCTGCTTAGGGCTCGTAAGGAGAATTTCATAAGATGGCGGCTTGTAGTCAGGATCGCATGGACGCTGGCGGCTCTTGAGGTCAGTAGGGTTTTCCAGAGTCCTGCTACATTTCATTTCCTTCTCTAGTTCCTCTCTCTCCATTTTGTTCCCCCATCCTCAGTTCCCCTCTCTCCATTTTGTTCCCCCATCCTCTCTCTTAATATGAGCTTCAAAATGGAGACTCTCGCAGCTGGCTCATAACCATCTAAGAAAGCCTAGATTGTGGCAGGATTTTGACAGTTCTCCCAGGATTGGACTCAAAAGGAACGTTATATGCATAATAATGCGAGTTGCTACCCAGCTTACAAACGGAGGTTTAGGAATTAGAGCAAAGAGCACTGTTCTTCCCTTGATATGTTTTGTCCCCCCAGAAACATTTTCATTCATCAGGTGTCTGGGGGTGAAAACTTAGGATCTTAGACAAAAGAAGCCTTGATTACTTAAGTCTATGTACTTATCAAGTCCACACCTGACATTATATGTTAAAAAGGCTCTCCTTCCCCACCCCAAAAGAAGCAGGAGCATGTGACCTGTGGACCATTAGCAATAGTCTGAGATCTGTAGTTGGGTCTTCTTCATAAGGCTTGGTGTAAGCCTGTATCACCTACTTACTTATCTATCTTTGGGGGGATGGGGGGAGGAACTTGGAAACCCTTTCACTCTGTTCAGCTCCCTCTGAAGCTCTCTCTTTTAAAGAAAGTGGTGAAATTTTTTCCTCAATTTTCTTGTAATCTATAACCACACCCCTCATTCTTAAGGAAGGAGTGGGCCAGAAGGAAACAGTTGAAATTAACCAGGAGTGACTACTGAACATCATAGAACAATTATTTTATTTCTCAATAAATATGGTAATAATAACAGCCACAACAACTAGGCAATAATACTTGAGTGCTCATTATTATCATAAAGGAAAGTAATACTACGATTGATCAAATATATGTTCAAGATACTGTGACAAGAACTTTTATATCTGTTCTTAGTTAAGTTTCATAATAACCTAGCGATATGGGAGTATTAAGCATCCTTTTAATATCAGGAAGCAAATTTAAAAGAAGTTAAAATAAATCACCAAAGGTCACACTGCTAGCTAATAAGTTGAAAAACTTTGATTTGCACACATCTTTCTGATTCCAGAATTGGTTTTCTCAGCCACCGAACTATGCTATCTCCTTCTTTTCTTGGCCTTCATTACACTTTATTTCACATTCCTTCCATCTATATAATTTGTAATCAACATAAAATTATCAAGAGAAGATGAAAGTCACACACTTCCTCCTTTAGATCCACATCTGTGTGTAGCCAACCGAAAAATAGAAGCTTGTATATGGCAACTCTGTTAAATATAATTTTAATAGTAACCAAGTTGATTTTTGATGTAGCAGCAAGTTCTGCAGTTTTCTTTAAAAAATTTTTTTCCCAAAACATTAACCCTGTTATTGCAAGGGAAAAACTGAGAATTGGGTCACATCAAGCATGTTTGGACTTGGAGAGAGTCCTATTTGTAACAATCACTTGATTTTACATAGCATTGGAGGTGTGTGACAATTCTTCACTAGACACAAAAAACTCTTTCTCGCACCTCTTTTATAAGTGTCGCCTCCAGGAGATTATAGCACAAGAATATTCCCCAGGACAGGACAACTGGGCCACTTGGGAATTGAATGCAAATGACAGTCATTTCATGAGAAAATTCAAGTCAATGCCAGGATCTTCTGGTTTAGAAATATTTGCAAATTATAAATAATACTTAGACATAAGGATTAACAAATGACTAATACAAAAATTAATATATGTACTCATTTAAAACTCCTGTCTTATTCCAATGAGGAAATATGCAAATATTTAAAACAATAATGACATGCATGCTGGTGCCTAATTTTTTCCTCTTCTGTGGTTATATCAAAGTTTCTATCAGAATCAATTATAATATTATCAATTGTCTGAATCTGCTCTCAGGTTTCATCCTCTGAGAGGCAGTCAGCACAATTCTTTGTATTCTCACAATTTTATCATAGGGAATTTCCATTAAGCCATTTAAGGTCCCGTTAGCTAGGCTAACTAGAATCTCGTTACAGTCTAAAAGAGCCTTAAGTCCGCATTTCTTATTGCTATTTCTCCAGTAGATTCTTCCAGTTCCTGTCTTATTTGGTTTAGGAAGTAGAACAATGCCCTTTTTTGCTTCAGTAGTTCTACCTACCTAAGATTGTTATGTTTTGTTGTTGTTTAACAGAGAGCAAGGTAATAGGAATTTAAAAATGCCCTATTTCAGGAGCCATGCAATCCCTTCTATAGGCATTATTTATTTTTTATTTACTCCTCATACAATAATGCCCTCAAGAAGGTAGTATTACTGCTATATCAGAGAGGAAAATCTTGAAACTTCAAAACTGAGTTGAACATTTGGTTCAAACCTTTACAGTGCAGACAGTGATGATGCTAGGATTTCAAAGGAGGCCTGTACAGTTCCAACTTGCTGTTCTCAGTGTGTGATGCCTTCTCTTAGAATATGCATATATTGTTATCGCAGATATTTCAAACAATATGATTTTTATCCCAACTATCATTGTTGTTTGAAGGAAAATCACTGGGGCAGGTTCAAAATCAAAATGGGCAGATTTACTCTTAAGACTCTGGATCTTCTGTTTTGAATGGCTCCCTATGGTATTGGAAGCATGGATCCTTCATGCTTCCTCCCTATGACCTTAGGGTAGTCAAACATAATTCTTGACAACTTGCCCTGCAAATAAAGTGTTTCAGATAAAAATCTAATTCATCCACATTTTATGACTACTAAAGGCTTAAATTTTATATTTCTTAGAGTATTTTAGAAGACAATAAAGAGTCATACATTCTTGAATTTTAGGGATAGGTAATTCAAACCATATGTATATGTGTAGTCCATTTAAATATCTAAATATTCTATCTATAAGAAGAGAGAACATTCCATAGAGGGAAGAGCAAGGTGATTTTTTTTTATTTTATGAAATAGCCTGAAAATAGGATTATTCAAATATGGCTGCTCTAAAATTTCCAACTGCAAAATCATTAGTGAAAAACACACATGCGTGTTCTCTACAAGTTCTCCAGGTAACTTCCTTTGTGGAATGTTGCCTTTTTTGGCCACCATCCTCTCTGATTTGCAAATCTATAATAGTCTCCTCTCCTGGCTTCTTCCTTTTCCACCCACTAGTATATTCTCAACACAATAGCCAGAGAGGATTCATTTAAAACATGTTATGTCCTCCCACTTCTCTGCTCAAAATCATCGTGTTTCTGCCTTACTTAGAGTAAAAGCCAAAGTTTAACTCTGGTTTAGAAGGCCCAACAATACCTGACCCCGTGACCTATCTGAGCACTTCACATAATAGTCTCTCTCTCTCCCCGATTTTGCTCTCGCCACACTGGCCACCTTGCTTTGTCTGAAGCACATCAGGCACCCTCCTGCCTCAAGGCCTTTGCACCTTCCCTTTATTCTACCTGGACTACTATTCCTCAATATTTATATTGCTCCCACCTCACCTCATTCAAAATTATTCCAGTGCCCCCTTTTTTTCCCCCAGTAAGACTTCTCTTAACCACCTCTTTAAAGTTGCAGAAACCTTCCATCCCAGTCTGCTTGTTTTCGTTGATGTATCTTTTCTCCATAGCACTCAGCATCATTTGACTATTTTGTATTTCATTTGTTTGGTTTCCTGCAACCAGACTATGAGCTGTACAAGGGCTGTGATTTCCCTGCTCATTTTTCTCACTGAGGTGTGCCTAGCAGTTGTCATAAGACATGATATGTAGCAGTTGTAGCAGTTTCTCAACAACCTTTTTTTTTTTTTGAATGGGTACATAAATGAATACACGTTCTTTACAGGATGACTTCCAATAATCTATGTATTTATTCCTCTCATAGTTATTGAGCAACCCCTATGAACAGGCCCTATACTAAGCACTGAAGATAAACCATTGAATTTTAAATGTATTCCCAGTCCTCTTTTGGAATGATAGATAGTTTTAACAGGAGATAGTTCTAATTGCTAAGATACATCTGACATTTCCCCTGCTCCTCCATACCCACTCTTTTGGATAGTGACCAAGGAAGCAATATTCTGTTTTAGTCTTTTAATTGCCTAAAGGACTAGTTTATTGAATAAGTTGGATGTTTTCCTCTCTGTTTTGTCAAACATCCCTTCCCCAGCTCTGGGTTAAATCTCAGGTAGGAGCTACAGCTAATATTAAAGTATGCAGTCCATTTCAAGCTTCTGTTTGTGTCATGTCTTGTCCAAAGCAAGTCCATGGCCAAACTGAAAGTCAAGGGATGGGAAAGTATGTTTCACTTAGAATGTGGTGGCGGGCGGCGGCGGCGGGGGTGGGGGGCAGTCATAGAAAAATTACATAGTAAAGGGTGTGAGTAGAAAGAAGGATGAAGAATTGGGGCTATTAATGCAATATTCCCCAAGCTTGGATATAACAGGTATAAATCAGAACTGCAATGGACAGAGAGAGACATTGATATGGTCACCCTATACAGAGAATGTTAAAATGTGTGGATATTTAAAAGCTTTTCTTCTCAGTGAAAACACCATCTTGTTCTGTGCGCATTGCATCAGTGCTGGCTGTTATCTTCCCAATGCTCAGAGGTAAGAACCACTTTACAGATTTTCTTGGATCCGTAGGCAGTTTCTGTTAGCACTAGCACATTTGCCATTGAGTGGTTGGCTTCCCTGGAAGCTCCAAAATCTTTTGCTTAGACTGCATGGATTTAAAGGAAGAAATAAAAAGGGGTAAATGTTCTCTTGACCTCATGTAAATTTTAGACTGTGATTTTCAGTACCATGCTCTCTTTTTTTCCTTCTGTTCAAA